ATGGGGGACGCCTTCAGGGAAGGGTCTAGGTCTAGATCCGTGGTCGGCAAACTGTGGCTCGCGAGCCTCAGGCGGCTCTTTGGCCCCTTGAGCGTGACTCTTCCACAAAATACCCCGGCCTGGGCGAGTCTATTTAGAAAAAGTTTAAGTTAACAAATGTGGCTCTCAAAAGACATTTCCATCGTTGTCCTGTTGGTATTTGGCTCTGTGGACTCATGAGTTTGCCGACCGCTGAGCTAGATGATGGGCGGTGAGTGAGAATGAGACTTCCCTTTGGTGTCTAAAGCCCCTTCTTATTTAATTAAAAAAAAAATATTTTATTGATTTTTTACAGAGAGGAAGGGAGAGAGATAGAGAGCTAGAAACATCGATGAGAGAGAATCATCGATCAGCTGCTTCTTGCACACCCCCTACTGGGGATGTGCCCGCAACCAAGGTACAAGCCCTTGACCGGAATCGAACCCGGGTCCCTTCAGTCCCCAAGCCGACGCTCTATCCATTGAGCCAAACCGGTTTCGGCTTATTTAATTTAATTTTTTTAAAATATTTTATTGATTTTTTACAGAGAGGAAGGAAGAGAGAGAGAGAGAGAGAGAGAGAGAGAGAGTTAGAAACATCAACCAGCTGCTTCTTGCACACCCCCTACTGGGGATGTGACCGCAACCAATGTACATGCCCTTGACCGGAATCGAACCCGGGGCCCTTCAGTCCCCAAGCCGACGCTCTATCCATTGAGCCAAACCAGTTTCGGCTTATTTTATTTAATTTTTAAAAAATACCTTTCTTGACTTCAGAGAGGAAGAGAGAGAAACATGAGAATCACCGATCGGTTGCCTCCCGAATGCCCCCCTCTGAGCCCACAACCCAGGCGTGTGCCCTGACTGGGGATCCAACCACGACCTGGTTCATAGGCCAATACGCAACCGCTGAGACACGCCCACGGGGCTGCGCCGTTTTATTTTTTAAAAACCCCAAAACTTCAAAAATGTGAGTCAGATCCCCGCTGTGTTCCCATCACCCCGTGCAGCTCCCGCCCTGCTCAGACTCAACACAGAGTCCTCTCCAGGGCCACAGCCCCGGGGTCGGCCCAGCTGCCCCTCCTGTTTCATCTCGTACCCCGACTCGCCTGCCTGCTGTTCCCACACCCAAAGCCCACTCTGCCCTGCACACGGGGCCTTGGCACACGCCGCCCTCTCCACCCTGGGCCCCGCGTCCTCCTGTGGACTCACCGCCTCCCGCAGGCCTCCCGGCTCCCCGTGTGACGTGTGAATGTTTCCCCGTTCACCGTCTGCCTCCCGGCCGCCGTGTGAGCTCCCCCAGGGAGGCCAGCGGGTGGTTTCCGGGCTGGTCTCGGCTGCCTCCTCCGTGCCGGGAACAGTCCTTGGCACGCCGGGCACCCCCACGGGCCGTGGGCAGACGGGAGGTGTGACAGCCCCGTCCCCTTCTCTCCCCGCCCAGTGAAACAGCTGGAGGTCCTGCAGGACATCGCGGACCTGACCGTGAAGGCCTCCGATCAGGCCGTGTTCAAGTGCGAGGTGTCTGACGACAAGGTGACGGGCAAGTGGTTCAAGAACGGCGTCGAGGTGCGGCCCAGCAAGAGGATCATCATGACCCACACGGGGAGGTGTGTATCAGTCAGCTCTAGCCGCGTAATGACCATCCCCGGACTGAGCGGTTCCAAAGAACAAGGACTTATTGAATCGCGTCTGTGGGTGGATGGGTGGCTGGCTGATGGAGGATGGCCTTCCTGGTGCTTGTGTGGTCAGCTGAGTGTCCGTTCTGCTCACCCTCCTGTGCTCTGTGGGGACCTGGAGGCGCTGGGCTGTGTCTGCTCTGGTCCTGGTGATGCCTCATCTCCTGGCATCGTCATGTGGTAGAAACGGGTTCGAGGGCATGCAAGGGAACGTAACGGTGTGTCCTGGGCTGGGAACTGTCCCCATGTTGCTTCCTCCATATTCCTTTATTTATTTGCATTTATTTAAAAAAAATTTTTATTGATTTGTTACAGAGAGAAATAGAGAGGGATAGAGAGTTAGAAACATCGACGAGAGAGAATCACCGATCAGCTGCCTCCTGCACACCCCCTCTACTGGGGATGTGCCCGCAACCAAGGCACATGCCCTTGACCAGAATCAAACCTGGGACCCTTCAGTCCGCAGACCCGTGACGCTCTATCCACTGAGCCAAACTGGTTATGGCTGCTGTATTTTTTTTTTAAATACATTTTTATTGATTTCAGAGAGAAAGGGAGAAGGAGAGAGAGAAATAACAACGGTGAGAGAGAATCATTGATTGGCTGCCTCCTGCACACACTGCTTCTCCCCACACTGAGGATGGAGCCTGCAACCCAGACATGTGCCCTTGACTGGACTCCTGCTGCGGGCTCATCCTCAGCGGGGGGTGTGCAGGAGGCAGCTGGTCGATGTTTCTCTCTCATCGAAGTTTCTGGCTCTCTGTTCTTCTCCCTTCCTCTCTGCAAAAAATCAATAAAATATAATTAAAAATATATATATATATATATATATTAAAAAATAAAAAATAAAGTCAATTAAAAAATGTACTAAGAAGGAAAGGGGTGGTGTGAGCATGTAGATGGCGGGGAGGAGGGTGTTTCTCGGTGGGGTTCCCGGGGGACCTGGCTTGACCTCTGCCCTGTGCCCCCCCAGGATTCACAAGCTGGTGATCAATGACGTCCGCCCGGAGGACGAGGGCGACTACACCTTCGTACCCGATGGCTACGCCCTGTCCCTCTCCGCCAAGCTCAACTTCCTGGGTGAGGGGCCCTCTGCTCTCCCCGGGGCCCTGTGCCCCGTCCCTCAGAGCCCGCGGGGGGGGGCACTCAGACAGAAGATGGGGGAGAACATTGTTTCCGCCACAGCGAGGCCATGTGGGGACCCATGCGTGGGACAGCTGGTCCTGAGCCCACCCCAGCACCCCGGTGCCCGGTGACCCCAGACCCTCCCCCTGCCTCTGGGTTTGAAGGTGGGACTGGGTCCCAGGGATGTAGACCTAACCGTCCTCTCTCCTGTGCTCCCCAGAAATCAAGGTGGAGTACGTCCCCAAGCAAGGTAGGCACCCTGTGGTTTTGGTAGAGGGCTGGCCTCCTGGGTGTGAGGGAGGAGGGGCTGGCCTCCTAGGTGAGGGAGAAGGGGCTGGGCTCCTGGGTGTGAGGGAGAAGGGGCTGGGCTCCTGGGTGAGGGAGAAGGAGCTGGGCCCCTGGGTCTGAGGGAGGAGGGGCTGGGGGCCTGGCCTCCTGGGTCTGAGGGAGGAAGGGCTGGGGGCCTGGACCCCTGGGTCTGAGGGAGGAAGGGCTGGGGGCCTGGACCCCTGAGTCTGAGGGAGGAGGGGCTGGGGGCCTGGGTCTGAGGGAGGAGGGGCTGGGGGCCTGGGTCTGAGGGAGGAGGGCCAGAGCCTGGACCCCTGAGTCTCTGACTGGGGGAACCAGCTTCTCCGGACCTGGAGGGCTCTGGGACAGCCCAACTGCCGCCTCCCAAGTCCCCGGAATCCGTCTCTGCCCCCAGAGCCCCCGAAGATCCACCTGGACTGCACGGGGAAGACCTCGGACAACTCCATCGTGGTTGTGGCCGGAAACAAGCTGAGGCTGGACGTGGCCATCTCGGGGGAGCCCCGCCCCGTCGCCACCTGGATGAAGGGGGACGAGGTAAGCGGGCGTCCCCGCGCATGACCGCCTGTCCCGCCTGGCCCTGCCGGGCCACTTTAGGCGAGCCGCTCTCCCTGTCCGAGCTCCCGCTGCATTGTAAGACGAGGACTGTGATTGCTTCTTCAGAGGGTGCCTGTGAAGACTGGAGATTCAGTTTGTCTGTCCCAGGGGACTGTCCCGGCACATGGTGGGTGCTCCGTCCATCCATCTCTCCATTCATCATTCTCCATCCAGCCGTCTTCCCCCCATGCATCAGTTAATTGATTAAATCACCCGTCCACCCATCCACCCATCCACTCATTCAACCAACCATCCATCCATCCACCCATCTACTCATCCACCCACCCATTCATCCACCCAACCACCCACCCATCCATCCATCCACCCACCCACCCATCCATCCATCCATCCATCCATCCACCCATCCAGCCATCCACCCACCCACCCACCCACCCACCCACCCATCCACCCATCCACTCATTCAACCAACCATCCATCCATCCACCCATCTACTCATCCACCCATCCACCCATCCATCCATCTATCCACCCATCCTTCCACCCACCCACCCACCCACCCATCCACCCATCCATCCATCCACCCACCCACCCACCCACCCACCCACTCACCCATCCACCCACCCACCCACCCATCCACCAACCCACCCACCCACCCATCCACCCACCCATCCATCCACCCACTCATCCACCCATCCCCTTACCCAGCCACCCATCCAGCCATCCATCCACCCACCCATTCCCCCACCCACCCACCCATCCACCCATCCACCCATCCACCCACTCATCCACCCATCCCCCTACCCAGCCACCCATCCAGCCATCCATCCACCCACCCATTCCCCCATCCACTCATCCACCCACCCATCCACCATCCATCTGAGGGAGGAGGGCGGGGGTCTGAGGGGAGGGCAGAGGCAGGTCTGGCCGGGAGGGCGCCCATGGCCATGGCGTGTGCCCAGGTGTTCACGGCCAAGGAGGGCAGGATGCGCATTGAGGAGCGCGTGGAGCTGGAGCGCAGCAGCCTGGTGATCGAGAGCGCGGAGCGGGCGGACGAGGGCCGCTACACCATCAAGGTCACCAACCCGTCCGGCGAGGACGTGGCCTCCATCTACGTGCGGGTTGTGGGTGAGCGGCGGGGGCCGAGGGGGCTGCGTTTGGGGGTGGCTCCCTGAGGCCGTGGGGAGCCCCCTGACTCTCCTCGCCCCCCCAGACGTCCCCGACCCCCCGGAGGCTGTGCGGGTCACCTCCGTGGGGGAGGATTGGGCCATCCTGGTCTGGGAGCCGCCCAAGTACGACGGCGGACAGCCAGTCACTGGTGAGTGCCTGCATGACCTCCGACCTCCGACCTCCGACCTCCGGGTCCCCCTGGCTTCTCTTCGACCTCCCAGAGTCCATAGCTCCCTCAATGACCCCCACCCCCTCGACACCTGGTTTCCATCTTTTTTTTTTTTTTTTAATCTGTTTTATTGCTTTGTTACAGAGATAAAGAGAGAGGGATAGAGAATCAGAAACATCGGAGAGAAACATCCATCAGCTGCCTCCTGCATGCCCCCTACTGGGGATGTGCCCGAAACCAAGGTACATGCCCTTGACCGGAATGGAACCTGGGACCCTTGAGTCCGAAGGCCGACGCTCTATCCACTGAGCCACACTGGTCAGGGCTGGTTTCCATCTTTTTTTAAAAAAATATATATATATTTCCATTGATTTCAGGGAGAGGGAGAGAGAGGCTGAAACATCAACGATGAGAGAGGATCGTTGATCGGCTGCCCCCTGGGGATGTATCCCGCAACCGGGCCACGCGCCCCTGACTGGAGTCGAACCCGGGACTCTTCAGTCTGCGGGCTGACGCTCTGTCCATCGCGCCAAACTGACTAGTTCCCACCTTTGACTTCCCACAATCCCTTTGGTCTCCGCGTACCTCCCCTCCCCAGCCGCCTGGGCATCCTCCCTCCGAGCAGCAGCCTGGGCTTTCTCTGACCCCTGACCCCTGACCCCTGGCCGTGACCCTGCTCCATCCGTGGCCCCAGGCCCGGTGAACTCTGACCGCCGGTCCTGGCCCCAGGGCCTCCCTGCCCCGCGGGCCTGCGGCCCCCCGGCCCCTCCGGCCCAGACTCTCTGCCTGGGGGGGGCAGGGTACCTCCTGGAGCGGAAGAAGAAGGGCTCCCAGCGCTGGATGAAGCTCAACTTCGAGGTCTTCACGGACACGACCTACGAGGCCACCAAGATGATCGAGGGCGTCCTGTACGAGATGCGGGTCTTCGCCGTCAACGCCATCGGGGTGTCCCAGCCCAGCGTCAACTCCAAGCCCTTCATGCCCATCGGTGAGGTCCCCCCTCCCCCCAGCCCCTGCCGAGCCCCTGCCGAGCCCCCGCCTGGCGAGCCCCTGCCTCTGACCCCGCCTGCCTCTGACCCCGCCTGCCTCTGACCCCGCCTGCCTGCCTCTGACCCTGCCCCGCCTGCCTCTGACCCCGCCTGCCTCTGACCCCGCCTGCCTCTGACCCCGCCTGCCTCTGACCCCGCCTGCCTCTGACCCTGCCCCGCCTGCCTCTGACCCTGCCCTGCCTGCCTCTGACCCTGCCCCGCCTGCCTCTGACCCCGCCTGCCTCTGACCCCGCCTGCCTCTGACCCCGCCTGCCTCTGACCCCGCCTGCCTCTGACCCTGCCCCGCCTGCCTCTGACCCCGCCCCGCCTGCCTCTGCCCCCGCCTGCCTCTGCCCCCGCCTGCCTCTGACCCCGCCTGCCTCTGACCCTGCCCTGCCTGCCTCTGACCCTGCCCTGCCTGCCTCTGACCCTGCCCTGCCTGCCTCTGACCCCGCCTGCCTCTGACCCCGCCCTGCCTGCCTCTGACCCTGCCCTGCCTGCCTCTGACCCCGCCCTGCCTGCCTCTGACCCTGCCCTGCCTGCCTCTGACCCTGCCCTGCCTGCCTCTGACCCCGCCCTGCCTGCCTCTGACCCCGCCCTGCCTGCCTCTGACCCCGCCTGCCTCTGACCCTGCCCTGCCTGCCTCTGACCCCGCCTGCCTCTGACCCCGCCTGCCTCTGACCCCGCCCTGCCTGCCTCTGACCCCGCCCCGCCTGCCTCTGACCCTGCCCTGCCTGCCTCTGACCCCGCCTGCCTGCCTCTGACCCTGCCCTGCCTCTGACCCCGCCCTGCCTGCCTCTGACCCCGCCCCGCCTGCCTCTGACCCTGCCCTGCCTGCCTCTGACCCCGCCTGCCTGCCTCTGACCCTGCCCCACCTGCCTCTGACCCCGCCCTGCCTGCCTCTGACCCCGCCTGCCTGCCTCTGACCCCGCCCCGCCTGCCTCTGACCCTGCCCCACCTGCCTCTGACCCTGCCCTGCCTGCCTCTGACCCTGCCCTGCCTGCCTCTGACCCCGCCTGCCTCTGACCCTGCCCTGCCTCTGACCCCGCCTGCCTCTGACCCCGCCCTGCCTGCCTCTGACCCCGCCCCGCCTGCCTCTGACCCTGCCCTGCCTGCCTCTGACCCCGCCCTGCCTGCCTCTGACCCCGCCCTGCCTCTGACCCCGCCTGCCTCTGACCCTGCCCCGCCTGCCTCTGACCCTGCCCTGCCTCTGACCCCGCCTGCCTGCCTCTGACCCCGCCTGCCTCTGACCCTGCCCTGCCTCTGACCCTGCCCTGCCTGCCTCTGACCCCGCCTGCCTCTGACCCTGCCCCGCCTGCCTCTGACCCTGCCCTGCCTGACACTGACCTCTGACCCCGCAGAGTCCGCTGGCTTCTGCCCCCTCCCATCTGACCGCTCAGCGCGTTGACCCTGAGCCCCGCCCACCTCCTGGCCTGTCCCTGGCCTCCGTGGCCCCCAGACCAGGGGTCGGCAAACTGGGGCTCAGAGCCCCAGGCGGCTCTTTGGCCCCTGGAGTTTTTTAGCAAAGGCCAGCCGAGGAGGACCCTGGTTGAGTGAATAACAATGTATGACCTAACTAGTTTTAAGTTGGAAAAATGTGGCTCTCAAAAGAACGTTCAGTCGTTGCCCTGTGGGTGTGTGGCTCTGGGGACTGATGAGTTTGCCGACCACAGCCCTATCCTCGGTGCTGCAGCCGAAGTATTGATCTCATTGACCTCTGACCTCTCAGAGTGACCGTCTCTGTCCCTGGAGGCCTCACTTTTTCTTGGTAATCTTGTTTTTGTTTATTTTCCGTTGATTTCAGAGAGGAAGGAAGAGGAAGGGGGGGAGAGAGAGACATCATGGTGAGAGAGAGAGAGAGAGAGTCATTGATCGCTGCCTTCTGCACACCCGCAACCTGGGCACATGCCCTGGACTTGGAATCAAACCGTGGCCTCCTGGTTCATAGGTTGATGAGCATCCTCTGGCCCCCTCTCTGACCAGGGACCCCACCTCTGACCCCTGACCCTCCCTGCTGACCCTTGGCCCCTCCTTTCCCCCCACCCTCCCCCTTTCCCTGGACCCTGACAGCGCCCACCAGTGAGCCCCGGCACCTGACGGTGGAGGACGTGACGGACACCACCACCACCCTCAAGTGGAGGCCCCCCGACAGGATTGGGGCGGGCGGCATCGACGGCTACCTGGTGGAGTACTGCCTGGAGGACTGTGAGTGCCCGGCGGGCGGCTCCCGGCCCCAGGGGCGTCCCGTCCCATCTGTCCAGGCGGGTCCTAAGGGCTTCACCGCTGCCCGCTCGGGGGGGGGGGGGGGGGGGCAGGGAGGTCGGAAGGCCAGCCGCCAGCCAGGAGGGCGGAAGGCAGACCCGCTCCGCCTCCCTCCAGCCGAGGAGTGGGTCCCCGCCAACACGGAGCCCGTGGAGCGCTGCGGCTTCACGGTGAAGGACCTCCCCACGGGAGCCAGGATCATCTTCCGGGTCGTGGGCGTCAACATCGCGGGGCGCAGCGAGCCGGCCAGCCTGGCCCAGCCCGTCACCATCCGGGAGATCGTGGGTGAGCGCCCTGCCCCGCCCCGCCCCCGCTCTCCTGCAGGCCGCGTGGTGTCTTCTGCCCGGCCCTCCAGCCATCGCTAGGCCCCCACAGCCTCATCGCCCCGTCTCCCCGGCCCCCTCCCGAGGGCCCCAGGCCCCGGCGCTGACCTCCCCGGTTTGTGTCCGCAGAGCAGCCCAAGATCCGGCTCCCCCGCCACCTGCGCCAGACCTTCATCCGCAAAGTGGGGGAGCCCATCAACCTCGTCATCCCCTTCCAGGTGCGCGCCGGGCGCAGGGCCGGGCGCAGGGCCAGGGGTCAGGGCCAAGGCTCAGGGTCAGGGCTCAGGGTCAGGGGTCAGGGGCCAGGGGCCAGTTCCCACAGGAGAGCCCCGGCCGACCTCTGCCCCCTCCCCCCGCTGCCCCAGGGGAAGCCGCGGCCGCAGGTGGTGTGGACGAAGGGCGGGGCGCCCGTGGACGCCTCCCGCGTGAACGTGCGCACCAGCGACACGGACACCGTGTTCTTCGTGCGGCAGGCGGCGCGCTCGGACTCGGGGGAGTACGGGCTCACCGTGCAGATCGAGAACATGAAGGACACGGCCACCGTCCGCATCCGGGTCGTGGGTGCGGGCCGGGCCGGGCCGGGAGGGGACGGAGGAGGCGGGGGGGGGGGCCGGGAGGGGACGGAGAAGGCGGGGGGGGGGAGCCCGGAGGGGACGGAGGAGGCGGGGGGGGGGGAGGAGCCGGGAGGGGACGGAGGAGGTGGTGGGGGGGGGAGCCGGGAGGGGACGGAGGAGGCGGGGGGGGGGGGGAGCCCGGAGGGGACGAAGGAGGCGGGGGGGGGGGGGAGCCCGGAGGGGACGGAGGAGGCGGGGGGGGGGGGGGAGCCCGGAGGGGACGAAGGAGGCGGGTGGGGGGGGGAGCCGGGAGGGGACAGAGGAGGCGGGGGGGGGGAGCCGGGAGGGGACGGAGGAGGCGGGGGGGGGGGGGAGCCGGGAGGGGACGGAGGAGGCAGGGGGGGGGAGGAGCCCGGAGGGGACGGAGGAGGCGGGGGGGGGGGAGCCCGGAGGGGACGGAGGAGGCGGGTGGGGGGGGGAGCCGGGAGGGGACAGAGGAGGCGGGGGGGGGGAGCCGGGAGGGGACGGAGGAGGCGGGGGTGGGGGAGCCGGGAGGGGACGGAGGAGGGGGGGGGGGAGCCGGGAGGGGACGGAGGAGGCGGGGGGGGGGGGGAGGAGCCGGGAGGGGACGGAGGAGGCGGGGGAGGGGGGAGCCGGGAGGGGACGGAGGAGGCGGGGTGGGGGGGGGGAGCCGGGAGGGGACGGAGGAGGGGGGGGGAGGAGCCCGGAGGGGACGGAGGAGGCGGGGCGGGGGGGGGAGCCGGGAGGGGACGGAGGAGGCGGGGGAGGGGGGAGCCCGGAGGGGACGGAGGAGGCGGGGTGGGGGGGGAGCCGGGAGGGGACGGAGGAGGCGGGGCGGGGGGGGGGAGCCGGGAGGGGACGGAGGAGGGGGGGGGGAGGAGCCCGGAGGGGACGGAGGAGGCGGGGCGGGGGGGGGAGCCGGGAGGGGACGGAGGAGGCGGGGGGGGGGGGGGGAGCCGGGAGGAGACGGAGGAGGCGGGGGGGGGGGGGGAGCCGGGAGGGGACGGAGGAGGGGGGGGGAGCCGGGGGGGATGGAGGAGGTGGTGGTGGGGAGCCGGGAGGGGACGGAGGAGGTGGTGGTGGGGCAGGTGGGAGGTGAGGACCTGGGCGCGGGGGGCAGCCGGAGAGGCCAGGCGGGAGAGGGGGCGAGGGTGGACACCGGGGGCCGGCTGGCCTGAGCACCCGCCTCCCTGCAGAGAAGGCCGGGCCCCCGGTGAACGTGACGGTGAAGGAGGTGTGGGGCACCAACGCGCTGGTGGAGTGGCAGCCCCCTAAGGACGACGGCAACAGCGAGGTCACCGGCTACTTCATCCAGAAAGCCGACAAGAAGACCATGGTGAGGGCGGGGCTGGCCGGTGAGGGGTGCGGGGCGGGAAAGCTGCCAGGGATTGGGGTAGGTGCTGTCCCCCCCCTTTCCAGCTGGGGAAACCGAGGCCCGGAGGGGTTTGGTGCATGATGGGTTTCTTGCTTTTTAATTGTTTTTTTTGTTTGTTAATCCTCACCCGGGGATATTTTTCCCCACTGACTTTTGTTTTTATTGTTTTTTTAAATATATTTTTATTGATTTCAGAGAGGAAGAGTGAGGAAGAGAGAAACATCAGTGACGCGAGGGAATTAGTGATTGGCTCCCTCCTGCATACCTGGGATGGAACCCACAACCCGGGCATGTGCCCTTGGCCGGAATCAAACCTGGGACCCCTGAGTCCCCTGAGTCCGCAGGCCGACGCTCTATCCTCTGAGCCAAACTGGCTAAGGCCCCCATTGATTTTCAGAGAGAGTGATAGGGAAGGAGAGAGGGAGGGAGAGAGAGAGAGAGAGAGAGAGAGAGGAGAAGAAGAGAGAGAAACATCATGTGAGAGACACATCAATCTGTTGCCTCCCACACGCACTCTGACCAGGGCAGGGGGTTCAGCCTGCAACCCAGGTACGTGTCCTTGACTGGGAATCAAACCCAAGGCCCTTTGGTGGGAGAGCCGACCCCTAACCACTGAGCACACCAGCCAGGGCACCTTTTTTTAAATGGAGATAAGATTCACCTAACAGCATGAAGCACTGATGTTGAAGTGGCTTTCAGTATATTCCCAGTGGTGTGCAACCACCACCTCTATCTATTATAGTCCCAGAACGTTTTTTAAAAAATTATTTTTATCGCTGAAACTGGTTTGGCTCAGTGGGTAGAGCAGCCTGCAGAATGAAAGGTCCCAGGTTCGATTCCGGTCAGGGGCATGTACCTTGGTTGCGGGCCCATCCCCAGTAGGGAGTGTGCAGGAGGCGGCTGGTCGATGTTTTTCTCTCATCGATGTTTCTAACTCTCTCTTCCTCTCTGTAAAAAAAAAAATCAACAAAATTTTATTTAAAAATTTTTATTTTTATTGATTTCAGAGAGGAAACAAGAGAGAGAGAGAGAGAGAGAGAGAGAGAGAGAGAGAGAGAGAAACATCGATGATGAGAGAGAATCCTTGATCAGCTGCCTCCTGCACGCCCCACATCGGAGATCAAGCCTGTAACCCGGGCGTGTGCCCTGACCGGGAATCGAACCCTGACCTCCTGGTTCATAGGTCGATGCCCAGCCACAGAGCCACGTCGGCCAGGCTAGTCCCGAGGCATTTCACACCTGAGAGGAAACCCCGGATCCACTAAACAGTCACCCCCTTTCCCTCGCCCATCCCCTGGCGACCCCCACTCCGCTCCCTGCGTTTGTGAATGTGCCTCTTCTGGACGTTGCCTAGCAACAGAGTCGCACCATCTGCGGCCCTTAGTTCCCGGCCGCTGTCCCTCAGCCTCTGTCCGGGTTTCGGTGTTTCCTGCCTCTTCCTGGCGGAGGGATGGCGCGTCTCCATCGTCCTCGGATGGGCCTTTGGGTTGTTTGTCTTCAGGCCTCTGCCAAGGACGGGCTTGCTGGCTCCACCCACACGTGGGGGTGCTTTCCTTCCCTGGTTTGTGTCCCTGACTTTTCCACTCTTTCTTTTTTTTTTTTTTTTTTTTTAATATATTTTATTGATTTTGTACAGAGAGGAAGGGAGAGAGATAGAGAGTCAGAAACATCGATGAGAGAGAGTCATCGATCAGCTGCCTCTTGCACACCCCCTACTGGGGATGTGCCCGCAACCAAGGTACATGCCCCTGACCGGAATCGAACCTGGGACCTTTCAGTCCCCGACGCTCTATCCATTGAGCCAAACCGGTCCCGGCTCTTTATATATATATATTTTTTTTTATTGATTTTTTTTACAGAGAGGAAGGGAGAGAGCTAGAGAGTTAGAAACATCAATGAGAGAGAATCATTGATTAGCTGCCTCTTGCACACCCTCAATCGGGGATGTGCCCGCCACCAAGGATACATGCCCTTGGCCGGAATGGAACCTGGACCCTTCAGTCCGCAGGCCGAGGCTCTGTCCACTGGGCCACACCGGGCTCGGCTGCCATCCCCACTCTTCCCTGTCCTCCCCCCAGGAGTGGTTCAACGTCTACGAACACAACCGCCAAACCCACTGCACCGTGTCCGACCTCATCGTGGGCAACGAGTACTTCTTCCGGGTTTACAGCGAGAACATCTGCGGGCTCAGCGAGTCCCCCGGCGTCTCCAAGGACCCGGCCCGGATCCTCAAGACGGGTGAGGCTGCCCCCTCCGCCGGGTCCAGCCCCTCGGGGCTGCGGCCCGCGGCCGTGGCTGCTCTGCCCTGCACCCCCCGCCCCCGGGCCCCACGCGGATGGCGGCTGGGAACCGCGGGGCTCGGTCGCCTCACAGGCTCATCTCCCCGCCGGCCGCCCGCCCGCCCGCAGGCATCAGCTGGAAGCCGCCGGAGTACAAGGAGCATGACTTCCGGATGGCCCCCAAGTTCCTGACGCCGCTGCTGGACCGCGTGGTGGTGGCTGGGTACACCGCTGCGCTCAACTGCGCCGTCAGAGGCCACCCCAAGGTGCGTGTGCGCGTGGGTGTGCGTGTGCGTGTGCATGTGTGTGTGACCCTGGAGGGGAAGCCTCAGCAAGATGAAGTCCCGCCCACGCCCCTCACAGCCCGTCTACCCCTCGGGCTTGTCTCTTCTCAGTTCATGGGCTTTGCTCCCCGTTAACCGGCTGCTCCAACCCACCTGCCGCCAGCTTCTCTAAATAAAGTTTTATTGGAACACGGCCCTGCACACTCTCTTGTGCATCGGCCATGGCCTGCTATGGGGGGAGGGGGGTAAGGTGGGGGGCAGAGGGAGCTGCAGGAGTGGTGCTTTGGCCGGGAGCGAAGACTTGCAGACTCCCAGGCGGGAGCAAAGCCAGGGGAAGGAAGGCCTATTCTTGCACCAATCTTCATGCAATGGGCCTCTCGTATTAAAATAATAATAATAATAAAAAAAAAGCCAAAACCGGTTTGGCTCAATGGATAGAACGTCGGCTTGGGGACTGAAGGGACCCGGGTTCGATTCCGGTTAAGGGCATGTACCTTGGTTGCGGGCACATCCCCAGTAGGGGGTGTGCAAGAGGCAGCTGATCGATGTTTCTCTCGCATCGATGTTTCTAACTCTCTATCTCTCTCCCTTCCTCTCTGTATAAAATCAATAAAATATATTTAAAAATAATAATAATAATAATAAAAAAGTAAAAATAAATGAATCCTGCTGGGCCCTTGGGACCCCCCAGGAGTGAGCTCCTCTCCTGCAGCCGAGGAGCCCGAGGGTCAGGAGCACGACGAGACCAAGGTCATGCGGCCATAATGAGGAGGGGGCACAGCCACCGTGGGGACTCAGACCTCCTCCCGCCAGGCTGTCCCCCACGGCCCGGGTGCCCTCTCTGAGCTGCCCGCCTCCTGCCCCTCCGCAGCCGAAGGTGGTCTGGATGAAGAACAAGATGGAGATCCGAGAAGACCCCAAGTACCTGATGACCAACTACCAGGGCATTCTGACGCTGAACATCCGGCGCCCCTCCCCCTTCGACGGGGGCACCTACACCTGCCTCGCGGTCAACGAGCTGGGGGAGGCGCTGGCCGAGTGCAAGCTGGAGGTCCGAGGTGAGGCCCTCCGCCCGCTGCCCACGCTCCCGCCCTTTGCCGAGCTACGGGAGCCAGACCCTCGGGAGGCCGCTGGGGCGGGGGGCGGGGTGGGAGCCTGGCCTGGGTGGTGTCCCAGGTCCCAGGGGAGTCGAAGGACAAGAAGGAAGCGAGCCGAGCCCGGTGTGGCTCAGTGGATAGAGCGTCGGCCTGCGGACTGAAAGGTCCCGGGTTCGATTCCGGTCAAGGGTATGTACGTTGGTTGTGGGCACATCCCCCGTAGGGGGTGTGCAAGAGGCAGCTGATCGATGATTCTCTCTCATCGATGTTTCTAACTCTCTATCCCTCTCTCTTCCTCTCTGTAAATTATCAAAAAAATATATTTTTTTTTAAAAAAGAAGGAAGCGAGTGAGGGGAGCTTAGCAGGTGACCGCGCGGGCTGCAGTGGGAGGCGTGTGGACACGGCCTCGAAACAAACGTGGGGTATGGCAGAGGCCCTGGGCTGTGGGAGCCCAGGATCACGCCTCCCTCCTGCACAGCCTGCCCCAGGCTGTCCCCCCACCTCACTCTGCCTGTCCCCTCCTTTCCCCCCCTCAGCCCACAGCTCAGCTTCGGCTGTTGGCACTCTTCCTTTTTTTTTGTGGATTTTTTAAAATTGATTTCAGAGAAGAAGGGAGAGGGAGAGAGAGAAACATCCGTGATGAGAGGGAATCATGGATCGGCTGCCTCCTGCACGCCCCCTGCTGGGGGTCAAGCCCACAACATGGACATGTGCCCTTGACCGGAATTGAACCCAGGACCCTTCAATCTGCAGGCCGACGCTCTATCCACTGAGCCACACTGGCTAGGGCTCCTCTTCCTTTTTCTTTTCTTTTCTTTTTTTTTAATATGTTTTTTATTGATTTCAGAGAGGAAGGGAGAAAGAGAGAGAGAGATAGAAACATCCACGATGAGAGAGAATCATGGATCGGCTGCCTCCTGCAAGTCCCCTCCACCCCAGGGACCGAGCCCACAACCCGGGCATGTGCCCTTGACCGGAATCAAACCCGGGACCTTTCAGTTTGCAGGCCAACGCTCTATCCACTGGGCAACACTGGCTAGGGCTCCTTTTCCTTCTGAATGCTCCCCGCCTCCCTCCGTGTCTCTCTCCGGCCCTCCCCACACGGGGCCCCAGAGGACACTCTGTCCAGGGGCTCCCTGCCCTCCAGGGGCTCCCCAGCAGCCCAGGCGCCCCTCAGCTTGGCGTCACGGTCCTGCATCCCTCCCTTCCCCCCGCCGTCCCTCTCCGGCCTTATGTACCCCGTTTTCCTCCACGCTGTTCAGGCCACACTGAGCCGTGGGCAGTAGGACAGACTGGCCGTGCTCCCTCCTGGCCCTGGGCCCCTGCATGTGCCATCCCGTCCCCCCAGAACCCGCTTCCTCGTCGCCCCACACTGCTGGGCTCTGCGGGGGAGGCTGCTGGAGATGTCCCTCCCCAGCTGGGACCTCCCCTGGCCCCAGACAGCGGACAGGAGGGTCCCTACACAGGGCTCAGAGTCCTCCCAGCCTTCCCCTGCCAGCCTCCAGGCCGCTCTCCCCTTTCCCAGCTGCTCAGTCAGCCCAGAGATAGCCCCGCTCCGGGGTTCCGGGGTCAGCCTGTTGCAGCCGCTGCTCAGAAATCTCCGCTCAGATGCTCCCAGTTTGGGGTTCAAAGCTGCAGCCCCCCGGGCAGCCTGGCCTTGGGGCGGCACCTGGCCTTGGGGCGGCACCTTGCAGAGAGGAGGGAGGGGAGCCGGCGCCCCCTGCTGGCCACGCGAGTGCAGCAGGCGGAGGGGCCCGGCGGGGCGCGGGCCGGGGTGGGGGACGCCGGGTCCCTGCGCCCCCTCCCCGCAGCCACCCCTCCTCCTGTCCCCCCAGTGCCGCAGTGACCTCCCCGCCGCCGATCTGAGCCTGAGCCGACCCCCCGACGGCGACCACTGAGAAGAGAACAATCTTGTCTGGAGACGCGCGTGTCTGTCTGTCCTTCTTGCCGCCGCAGCCCCGCCTTCCTCCGGGGCAGGGCTGGCCCCTGGGGCCGGGGGGGGGGGGAAGAGGGGGGAGGAGGAGGGGGGACCACAGCCAGGTCAGCGGCACCCCCCACCCCCCGCCTTAAGGTAACCCCGCGATGAAACAGACCACGCGGAGGCCGCCGCCCAGGAAGTCGCCACTTTAGTGGGGCCTCCACGTTGCTATGGCAACCGCGGAAGCGTCAGGGCGCGGACCCCTTAGACCGGCGCCCCGGGAGCCGGGCCCAGGCAGGCGGCGGCGGCGGCGGGAGCTGCAAGGAGTCGGGGAGGAGCCAAAGGCCCGGCTGGAAACGGGGCGCTGGGTCCCAGGGGTGGCCCCCAAGGAGCCGGGCGTGGTGCCGCCCGGGGACGGGCGTGGGAACCCCGCTGAGCATGCTGGGAAGGCTGCTCGGACCGGCGGCCACCCACGTGCAACTGGCCAAACTGCTCACCACCCGGCTGTTGGCTCTGAAGTGGCCCGTCTTGATTCACGTTAATGACCTGTCTGTCCGGCCCGATGTAGGGAGGTTAGATCTCTGGTCCTTTTTGGGGGCGTCCAGGGGGGCTGGAGGCATCGGAGTTCGGGGGCCCGAGGGCTCAGCCCGGCTCCCCGGGCGGAGTCTGTCTCAGAGGCCGCGGCTGCAGGTGCACCTGCTGTTGGGGCGGAGAGGACGCTGCACCTACCGGGAAGGGGGGAGCAGGGATCTCCGGAGGAAGGGCCCCCCAGGCTCCAGGGGCCCCACCTTCAGGGGGAGGCGCGGCTCCCCTCCCCAGGCCCCGGGGACCTGGGCATCGGGCCCAGCTGGCCCCTCCCTGCAGGCCCGGGCATCCCCTCGCCAGATGCCCCTATGCAGAGAGGCTGGAAGGGGAGATGCCCGGTTAGGGTACCTCGGCCACCTTAGCCGGCCGCCCTCAGGCCATGAGACACCCCCCCTGCTGCGCCCCTGCTGTCCTTCATCACAGACTGCACACCCTTTCAGGACTCCGAGCCCAGTCCTGTCACTGCCCCATCAACCCAGGCATCCGGCCCCCAGCCCTCCTCCCTCAGACCCAGGGGTCCGGGTCCCCAGCCCTCCTCCCTTAGACCCAGGGGTCCAGGCCCCCAGCCCCTCCTCCCTCAGACCCAGGCCCCCAGCCCCTCCTCCCTCAGACCCAGGGGTCCGGGCCCCCAGCCCCTCCTCCCTCAGACCCAGGAGTCCAACCCCTCCTCCCTCAGACCAGGGGTCTAACCCATGTTCAACCCCACCCACCACTCTCCGCACTCAGCCCCCTCGGTCAGATACTCCTCCTCCTCTTCATCGTCCTCTCCATCGTCCTCCTCTTCCTCCTCCTCCTCCTCCTCCTCCTCCTCCTCCTCCTCCTCCTCCTCCTCCTCTTCGTCCCGGTTACTCTGGGCCGAGGGGAAGCGCAGGCAGTACAGCAGCCGCACCCACTGGCCGAACTCGCAGTCCCCGGAGCCGGGCGGGCTCCGCAGCTGCAGGTAGAAGGTGCGTCCGGTTTGGAACTTGACCTTGAGCTGCCTGCGGCTTTCGTCGTGGACGAAGAGCTGGACGAACTGCAAGGGGACCATCCTGGCGGGCGGGAGGGGAGCCTCAGGGCCCGCCTTCCCAGCCCCTGGGCACCGAGCTTGCCCCCCTGGCCGCCCCCGTCTCCCCAGAGCCCTTTCCACATTCTCCGCCCCAGAGGCGAAGAGACACCCGCCTCCTTGAAATCCAGTTCCTTTTGGACGTTGGCTCCACAGCCGACACCGAAAATGTCCGGCCACCCAGTGTCTGACCTGGTCCCCACCCCACAAGCCTGCTGCTCTCCGTCCTCCGGTTTTTACTTCCACCTGCTCCCCACTTTCCCTCTCGCACCCTCATGCAGTCCTGCCACCGAGTCCAGATGGCCCTGCTGCTAAAATTATCCAAAATCCCACCACTTCCACCCCCACCTCCACCCCCTCCACTGGGCCCGGCCCCTAACGTCCCGCCTGGGCTGCCAGCCCCAGTCTGTCCCCCACGCGGCCGCCAGAGGGCGCCGGTCAACACTTGAGTTGGGTCAGGGTAAAAGCCAAGTCCTCACCTTGGCCAGGATGGCCGCCGCCCTGCACCGTCTTCCCCTTTTGTCCCCCCTCTGCCCCCTCACCTCCCGCCTACCCCCTGGTCACTCCACTGCAGCCACACTGGCCTCCGCGCTGTTCCATTAACCGGCCAGGCTTGGTCTGACCCCAGGACCTTTGCACAGGCGGTCCCCTCTTCTCTCTCTCAGGGGAGTCTGTTTACAATCCTTGGCCTATTTGCAACCGCGTCCAGGGGTCCGGGCCTCCCTCAGACCCAAGGGTCCAGGCCCCCAGCCCCTCCTCCCTCAGACCCAGGGGTCCAGGCCCCCAGCCCCTCGGCATGGTCCTCTCTCTGGGCCCCCAGACGTCTCCGCAGACCTTTTATCCCGTTGGACAAACTGCCATCTCTTCCGTCTGCCTGCCCGGTAGAAGGTGGGCCGGAGGACAGAGATTTGGGGCTGATTTTCTCACTGCGGCTTCCCTCGCCGCACCCAGAGGGACACGGAGTGCCGCGGGTACTTGAGTATTTGAAGAAATGAGTTGTTCTGCCTCCAGCCTGACTCAAGGTCCGAGGCAGAGGAGAAAAACCACCCAGAGAAGGTGGGTAAGCTGGCCTGGGTCACACAGCGGGATCCGGACCCAGTTGTCCATGTTCTTAACCACAGCCCGCTCTGGCCCAGCAAGCCTACCGCTAGGAATTGGTCTTACACCCTCATACCTGGGCACATGGGTGTCCCCTGCCTGCCGCCCTGGCTGTACCCCCAGGACACCAGACACAACCTCCGGTGGGGGGGGGGCGGAAGGGGGACTATCGATGATTGTGTTCTCAAATGGAAGAAGAGCCGCCGGCACTGACAGAGAGCTTACGCTGTGCCAGGCGCTGCTGTTCTCAGCACTTTACTCAGTGTATCCCCCGCAGCCCTGGAGGGGGGCTCTCCCCTCACCCCCATGTTGCAGAGGAGGAAACCGAGGCACAGACAGGTAGGGAACTTGGCCAAAGCTAGTGAAGAGGGAGGCCAGGATTTGAACCCAGGTCACCTGAGGGTGGCCTTGTGTTCAAGGATGGTCCCTATTACAAGATGTTCCCTAGAACAGCAAGAGTGGTGCCCCCCCCCCCCCGCCAAAAAATAAATCACATAAGAGAGTGATGCCCTGACCGGTGTGGCTCAGTGGATAGAGCGCTGGCCTGCGGACTGAAAGGTCCCAGGTTCGGTTCCGGTCAAGGGCATGCGCCTTGCTTGCAGGCACATCCCCAGTTGGGGGTGTGCAGGAGGCAGCTGATCCATGCTTCTCTCTCATTGATGTTTCTAACTCTCTATCCCTCTCCCTCTCTGTATAAAATAAAAATAAAAAAGAGTGGTGCCTGAGGGGCCAGAGTCTGTTCAGTCATGTATATCCACAAGAGGCCCTGGTGGTTGCTCTCGCGTTGATGTGAAGTGGATATTGACATCCTGCTGAGGGAAAGGTAGCTTCTAGCATGTGCCTGCAACTGTTAAAGGGCCAGCACACACACTAGATGTCCGTCAGGAGTGGTCCAGAGCAACTCCGCTGTAGGCTGGTCAGCAGGGAGGGCCTGGGGGGAGTCCTGAGGCTGAGTTTGCAGAGCAAGCTCCATGCTTTTACGGGATGGTATGCTTCTTTGGGGGCGGGGGTGGGGGGTGGGGGAGGAGATAGGGGAGAGTGCTAAAGGAGATGAGGGGGTCAGAGGCCTCCCACAGTGCCACCCTTAGTATCCTTCCCACTGCAGGTCACGGCTCAGGGAGCAGGGAGGTCAATGGGCGGGATGCAGTTAGCACCGAAAAGGAAGGAATGTGGTAGAAAATGCCAGGCCGCCGTAAGACGCCTGGATCCTGCTTTCTGGCGTGCTTTAAACGCAGAGACGGGTGAGCTAAGGCTGTGAGACGCCTTTCGCTCAGGTCAGAATCAGATTCCGCCACCAAGTGAGTTACAAAGCAGTCAGAGCCATCCGGCCGGCGTGGCTCGGTGGTTGAGCATTGGCCCATGAACCAGAAGGTCACGGTTTAATTCTGGGTCAGGGCGCATGCCCAGGTTTGGGGCTTGATCCCCAGTAGGGGGTGCACTGGAGGGAGTGGATTGATGTTTTTCTCATCATTGATGTTTCTATCGCTCCCTTTCCCTTCCTCTCTCTCTCTAAAATAAATAAAACATTAAAAAAAAAGAGAAAAAAGTCAAAGCCACTGGCAGAATGCTTCTCTAAATACACTATCCCAGTAGTCGGCAGACTCAATCGTCCACAGAGCCAAATACCCACAGTACGACGATTGAAATTTCTTTGGAGAGCCAACGTTCTTAAACATAAACTCCTTCTAACGCCACTTCTTCAACATAGACTCACCCAGGCCGTGGTATTGTGTGGAAAGAGCCACGCTCAAGGGGCCACAGAGCCGCACGTGGCTCATGAGCCGAAGTTTGCCGACCACGGCACTATACCCAGAGGCGTGTTTTGGTATTTGCAGTCGGAGTTGGACGCAGGAGCCTAGGATGTTCTGGAGAAACGTTGTGTTTTGTGCTGTGTGTTTTATACTTTGGAGTGAATCTGCATTAGTTTTCTACGAAAAACCAGAGACCGGAAGGGGCGGTGTGTAGTGGGACAGGCGCTTGAGCTTTGTGATGTTGGCCATCATGAGGAGCCTGAGGTTCCTGTCCCAGCCCTGACCCACTGGGAGACCCTGGGCAGGCGGCTCCCGTTTCTCTCTTTGGAGGATGGGGCTGAAGGGCCCCCCTACACGAGTATGACGTCAGAGATGAGATGAGGTGAGTAGTCCAGGAGGGTTTGGCACACAGGGGGCGCTGCAGGCCATTCTCTGGACCCGGGCCAGGCTGTGGCTGAGGACTGTTCCCCCGCGTGGCTGGCTACCCAGTTTCTGGCCCCTGGGGACGGCCCTGTCCTGGTTCTTCTGGGGTAGCGGCCGCTCCGGGGTCCTCTGGGCGAGAGGAGGGGCTGCAGGAAGCCGGGGTGCCCTGGGCGGGGGAAGGAGGCCGGGGCTGGGGCGGGCAGTCACCCGAAGAGCTGCAGGCGTCCGTTCTCCTTGGCGGGGCCCGCCAGCAGCAGCAGGTCTGGGCGCTCCAGGGCGGGACTGGAGGCCGCCACCCCCATGGTCACCTTGTTGGCAACTTCTCCTAACCGAGTCACCTGGGTGGGGACAGGGGTGAGAAGCTGGAGAGATGGTGATGGTGGTGGTGGTGGTGGTGGTGGTGGTGTGTGTGCACGCACGTTCGCGCAGAATTGGGGAGGGGTCAAGGTTCATGAACCGAGTGAATGAAACACCAAGGCGGAGTCGGATGTCCTGAGGTCAAAGGTCAAGAGTCCTGGAGGTGTTAAGTCAGGGAAACGGAAGGGAGGGAGTCAGAGGCTGGTCTCCTAGAGAAGCTAACGGTCTGGAGGAATGGGGAGAGGGGTCGGTGAGGAATTTCAGGAGACGGACGTGATGGGGGAGTTGTCAGAAGTGGGGGGAAGCCGGGGTTCCCCAAGTCAGGAGGTGGGGCTCTGGGGGGTGCTGGGGCTTCACACCTGCACGAAATTGCTCTCAAAGATGGTGAAGTCTCGCAGCTGGTGGAACTCCCCGCTCTGAAGGAGGCGTTGGAGCCGCCCAGGCCGGCCCGAGGGACAGGCTGAAAGGAGGGTGGGTTCTAGGGCAGTGTTTCCCAAAGTGTGGTCCGCGTACCCCCAGGGGCAGGGAAGAGTTGGGTGGGGGTACTCGTGTGCACTGCACTGTGCTTAGCGGCGCCTAATTCTACGTTCTCATGAGTACGAGGGGTACTCAGCGTTAGGAAAATTATAGAAGGGGCACACGTATTATGTCAAAAGTTTGGGAAACACTGTTCTAGGGGGTCAAGTTCGGGGCGGGTCTATCCCAGGAGGCTGAGCATAGGGGTTACCGGGCTATCCGGCCTCACCCCTCCCCTGGCCCAGCCCCTGAGGCATGGCTCCGCCTCTCCCCTGCCCTCCATCCCCCCTGGTCCCACTACACCTGTTCCATCCCCCGCAGGCCTGGGCTCAAGTCTCTGCTTCATCGGAGGGAGGAGCCTGGGGAGAAAACGGAGGGCGTGGCCACGGACAGTGTGACATCACAATGCAGCGGGCAGGGAGACGCCCGAGATTGTGACGTCACCGAGGGCGGTGCCCGCCCCGTTGACGTCAGGCCCCGTAGAGGGCGGGCGCTAGTGCGCAGACGCGAGGAGCTGGCGCTGGCGCATGCGCGGGAGGGATAGGTCCGCTCCTCCCAGAATGCTCCGCGGCGCTCGGCTCACTCTGGCCCGTGGATTGGTGGGAAGGGGCCAAGATGGCGGCGGCCGGCGCCAGGGCCACTCGGCTGCTCCTGCTCTTGCTGATGGCGGCCGCAGCCCCCAGCCGCGCGCGGGGCAGCGGTTGCCGGTCCGGGGCCGCTGCGCGGGGGGTGAGTGCTCCTTGGCGCGGCCGGCAGACATTGGGAGGTCGGTTAGGGCGGGAACGGGGCCACGCAGGGCCGAGAGGGAAGAGGTGAAAGCACCGTGGGGGGCGAGCTTGCAGCCCCGCACCTGCGGAGGCCGCACCGGAAGCGGGAGGGCAGCGGGAGGGGCGGGGCGCGGGTGGGACCGAGGCACTCTTGCGTCCGGCGCGGTGAAGGTCGGGGCCAGCCTGCCTCTCCTCCCGCTGGGGGCCTGCGGTCATGAATATGCATGAGGAGGTGTGGCCCGGATGGAATACTGGCGAATCAGACGGCGGGCCGCTGAAATGAAAAAGGCGGGGTGGAGGGCTCTCGCGAGATTGGAGGGGGTGTGTCCTGGTTGAATATGCATGAGGGGGCGGGGTCTCGAGCGGATTAAAATCCGTTAGGAGAAATTTGGATTTGGAGAAAAGGAGGGTGTGGATTCCTCCTTTTTGGGGCAGTTGAGGTGAACACGAGGCTACTTAGATATTAATAGCTTAGAAAGGAAGCTCAGGGTGCCTTTAAAATTTTTTTAAAATCATATTTTATTGATTTTTTTAGAGAAGAAGGAAGAGGGAGAGAGAGAAACATCAATGATGAGAGAGAATCTTCCATCGGCTGCCTCCTGCACGCCCCTCACTGGGGACCGAGCTCGCAACTCGGGCATGTGCCCCTGGCCGGAATCGAACCCGGGACCCTCAGTCCACAGGCTGAAGCTCTATCCACGGAGCCAAACCAGCTAGGGCTGCAGGGTGCCTTTTTTAACTCGGGCATAATTATGATACTGGACGTGAAAGTGACCCTCGGATAGCTGCCTTGGAAGCAAGCTTCGCTTTGCTTGCAGGCTCTTGTTTTCTGGGGACCGTCCAGATCCTGAATGTTCATGAAATGGGCGGTGGAGTCGTGGGCAAGCGTCAGCGTCTAGATATGAGGATGAAAATAAGGCTCCTCTCTCAGGATGCCAGTCTGTCCGGGGTCAGGGTGAGGGCTCTGTGGGTCCTCACTTGGGGTGCTCTGTCCGCAGGCCGGGGTGGAAGGCCGAGACGAGGCCTGTGGCACCGTGGGGCTGCTGCTGGAGCACTCGTTTGAGATCGGTGAGTCCAGCCGTGTCCTCTCTACACGCTTCCCCAGCGCGGGGGGAGGTCGGGAGCCTTGGTTTGGGTGCTGTGAGTGTGATACCCCCTCCCTCTGCTAACAGCCTTGGCCCTGAAGAGGGTGTTTGCATTCCCCTGGGGACAGGGGGGCAGGGAGGGCACTAGAATAGGAACTGTGCCTTTAGCTGTAAGGCAGATATAGTTCAGAAAGAGCCCGGAGAGCACTCTCTGACCCATTGCCTGTTTTTTTTTATTTTTATTTTTTATTTTTTTATTGATTTTTTACAGAGAGGAAGAGAGAGGGATAGAGAGCTAGAAACATCGATGAGAGAGAATTGTTCATCAGCTGCCTCTTGCACACCCCCTACTGGAGATGTGCCCGCAACCGAGGTACATGCCCTTGACCGGAATCGAACCCAGAACCCTTCAGTCTGCAGGCCGACGCTCTATCCACTGAGCCACACCGGTTTCGGCCCATTGCCTGTGGTTAGACGCTCTGTGTGTAGTAACCCCATTGTCCTCACAACAGTCAGGCAAGGGAGTAGGTGTTCGGGATGGCCCCGTTTTTCAGAGGAGGAAACTGAGGGCACCACATGCCATGGCCCAGCCTGCACCGCCTGATTCAGATGCCCCCCGGAGCGCAGTGTCAGTGTGGCCCAGGGGTTAGTGATCCCGGCTGGGAAGCAGCCCCCGGGTGATCTCCAGGGACGGGTCGATCTCTAGGTCAAGGGCGCCCGCTGCCCGGTGCCCCCTCATTCCCCCCTCCACCATTGCCCCCCTTCTAGAGCCTTACTTCCCTTCCTGGCTCTGCTGAACAGACTCAGTACCTTTTTGTAACAGTTTCCTCTTGCAGCGTTGGCTTGTTTTAAACTCTGATGGAGGTGGAGGGGGGAAAGCCCGGCCTGGGGCCCCAGACTCTGGGGGGCACTTGTTATAAACACTGAAGCTGGGCCTCTTAGACCTGGGTCCGACCTGGCATCTTCCTGAGAAAGCCACGCTGACTGTGATGGCCCGGTGGGGGAGGGGGGGTATGGCCGGGGGGGGGTCTGGGGGGTGGACTCTTGGGCCCGGTACTTTGCAGCCGGGCAAACAGGCTCAGAGCGGCTCTGTGAATGGCCCTGGTCGCCTGGCTGGGCAGAGGGCTCGGGAGCTGTGGGGTTCAGGCTCAGCCCTGCCCTGGGAGGATGTGGTGGGGCGCCCCTCCCTTGCAGGTGGCAAAACGGGGGCTCGGGTTGGGGAAGCTGGTCACTGCAGGGCTGGGGGGTTGGAGGGTGCTGGGGGGGTGCTCGCTGAGCCCAGGCTCCCGCAGGTGACCACGCCCACTTCCGGAAGCGCGGCTCCATCCTCTGGAACCAGCAGGACGGCGCCTTGTCCCTGTCGCAGCGGCAGCTCAACGAGGAGCAGCGGGGCCGACTCCGGGTGAGGAGGGGCGGCCGGCCGGAGCAGGGGGACACCGGTGCCCTGGAGTGTGGCATCCGGCCTCGGGGCCTGGGCCCGTGCCGCCCTCCGCCCAGCACATCCTCTCCGCCGCCAGTTTTTCACAAAATATATTTTTATTGATTTCAGAGGAAGGGAGAAAGAGATAGAAACATCAGAGAATCATTGATCAGTTGCCTCCTGCGCGCCCCCTACTGGGGATCAGGCCCACAACCCGGGCGCGAGCCCTGACCGGAATCCAACCCGGGACCCTTCAGTCCGCAGGCTGAGGCTCTATCCACTGAGCCACACCGGCCAGGGCTGCTGCATCCGTTCCCCACAACCGGCTCCTTCCCTTCCGGATTCAGCCGGGGCCAGGCAGGCGGGTAGGGTGAGATTTGCTTTGGGAGAGAGATCCCCACAGGAGCCATGGTGGGATGAGAGGACGTTACCTCTACGGCCCTGCTCCATGGCTCCTCCAGGCTGATCCCAGGCCAGCTCGGTCCTCCCCGAGGAAGGTGTGAGGCTCCAGGGAAGGGGGGCGGCTGAGGGAACAGCCATGTTTTAGGGAAAAGGGGAGCATCCCCGTGCGCCTCCTTCCACTCCGCCCCGTTGGGCGGTGGAGTTTCAGGGGTCCAGCCCCCCCCCCCCCCCCCCCCCCGGCCATCCCGGGGGGCGCGGCGGGCGCCGTCCCTCTCACCGCCTCTGCCTCCCGCAGGACGTGGCGGCCCTCGGCGGCCTGTACCGGGTCCGGGTGCCGAGGCGGCCGGGCGCCCCCGAGGGCCCCGAAGCCGGCGGCTACGTCTCCTCCTTCGTCCCCGCGGTGAGTCCGTGCGAGGGTGGCCTCGGCCCCGGCCTCCCCGCCCCCTCGCTGCCCCGTCGGTGCCCAGTGTCCTGGGCGAGGAGAGCTTGGCCCCGGCCCCGAGGCCTCCCAGCCGCGTCCGTGCCGGGGCTCTGGGGGGGCAGCGAGGGGGCAGCGAGGGGGACGGAAGCTTGGAAGATGCTGCTGGGGCTGTGGGGGGCTGTGGGGTGTGTGTGGGGGGGGGGCTGTGGGGTGTGTGTGTGGGGGGGCTGTGGGGTGTGTGGGGGGGGCTGTGGGGTGTGTGTGTGGGGGGCTGTGGGGTGTGTGTGTGGGGGGCTGTGGGGTGTGTGTGGGGGGCTGTGGGGTGTGGGGGGGCTGTGGGGTGTGTGGGGGCTGTGGGGTGTGTGTGTGGGGGCTGTGGGGTGTGTGTGTGGGGGGCTGTGGGGTGTGTGTGTGGGGGGCTGTGGGGTGTGTGTGTGGGGGGCTGTGGGGTGTGGGGGGCTGTGGGGTGTGTGGGGTGCTGTGGGGTGTGTGTGGGGTGTGGGGGGGCTGTGGGGTGTGTGTGGGGGGCTGTGGGGTGTGTGTGGGGGGGGGGCTGTGGGGTGTGTGTGTGGGGGGGGCTGTGGGGTGTGTGTGTGGGGGGCTGTGGGGTGTGGGGGGGCTGTGGGGTGTGTGGGGGGGCTGTGGGGTGTGGGGGGGCTGTGGGGTGTGTGGGGGCTGTGGGGTGTGTGTGGGGGGCTGTGGGGTGTGTGTGTGGGGGGGCTGTGGGGTGTGTGTGTGGGGGGGGCTGTGGGGTGTGTGTGTGGGGGGCTGTGGGGTGTGGGGGGGCTGTGGGGTGTGTGTGGGGGGCTGTGGGGTGTGTGTGGGGTGTGGGGGGGCTGTGGGGTGTGTGTGGGGGGCTGTGGGGTGTGTGTGGGGTGTGGGGGGGCTGTGGGGTGTGTGTGGGGGGCTGTGGGGTGTGTGTGTGGGGGGGCTGTGGGGTGTGTGTGTGGGGGGCTGTGGGGTGTGGGGGGGCTGTGGGGTGTGTGGGGGGGCTGTGGGGTGTGGGGGGGCTGTGGGGTGTGTGGGGGCTGTGGGGTGTGTGTGGGGGGCTGTGGGGTGTGTGTGTGGGGGGGCTGTGGGGTGTGTGTGTGGGGGGGGCTGTGGGGTGTGTGTGTGGGGGGCTGTGGGGTGTGGGGGGGCTGTGGGGTGTGTGTGGGGGGCTGTGGGGTGTGTGTGGGGGCTGTGGGGTGTGTGGGGGGGCTGTGGGGTGTGGGGTGTGTGTGGGGTGTGTGTGGGGGCTGTGGGGTGTGGGGGGGCTGTGGGGTGTGTGTGGGGGCTGTGGGGTGTGTGTGTGGGGGGCTGTGGGGTGTGTGTGGGGGCTGTGGGGTGTGTGGGGGGGCTGTGGGGTGTGGGGTGTGTGTGGGGTGTGTGTGGGGGGGCTGTGGGGTGTGGGGGGGCTGTGGGGTGTGTGTGGGGGCTGTGGGGTGTGTGTGTGGGGGGCTGTGGGGTGTGTGTGGGGTGTGGGGTGTGGGGGGGCTGTGGGGTGTGGGGGGGCTGTGGGGTGTGTGTGGGGTGTGGGGTGTGGGGGGGCTGTGGGGTGTGTGTGGGGGCTGTGGGGTGTGTGTGGGGGCTGTGGGGTGTGTGTGGGGTGTGGGGGGGCTGTGGGGTGTGTGTGGGGTGTGGGGGGGCTGTGGGGTGTGTGTGGGGTGTGGGGGGGCTGTGGGGTGTGTGTGGGGTGTGGGGGGGCTGTGGGGTGTGTGGGGGCTGTGGGGTGTGTGTGGGGTGTGTGGGGGGCTGTGGGGTGTGTGTGGGGTGTGGGGGGGCTGTGGGGTGCTGTGGGGTGTGTGTGGGGTGTGGGGGGGCTGTGGGGTGTGGGGGGGGCTGTGGGGGATGTGGGAGGGGCCGGAGGCTGGGGCCCAGTGCTGGCGAGGCCTGGACCGCCCCCCCCCCCCCCCCCCCCCCGCAGTGCTCCCTGGTGGAGTCGCACCTCTCGGACCAGCTGACGCTGCACGTGGACGTGGCCGGCAACGTGGTGGGGCTGTCGGCGGTGACGCAGCCCGGGGGCTGCCGCGGCCACGAGGTGGAGGACGTGGACCTGGAGCTGTTCAACACGTCCCTGCGGCTGCAGCCGCCCGTCCCCGCCCCGGGGTGAGGGCGAGGGGGGGCGGCGCCCTGCCTGCCAGCTGAGCCTGCCCGCCTTCGCCGCTGACCCCCTCGCCGTCCCTCCCCGCAGCCCTGAGACGGCAGCCTTCATCGAGCGCCTGGAGATGGAGCAGGCCCAGAAGGCCAAGAACCCGCAGGAGCACAAGTCCTTCTTCGCCAAATACGTGAGTGCTCGCCCGCCCCTCCGGACAGGCCGCTCCCCCCCCTCCCCTCCCCGTGCGGGCTCCGGGCGCCGGCCCGGGCCTGGCTGAGCTGCCCCGACGGAGCGTGAGGGCCGAGCCCGGGCCACCCAGTGCGGCCGGCTCAGTGGAGCGGCCGGGGGGGGGGGCAGCCGGTGCGGGCAGCGCCGGGCAGCGGAGGCCGGGGGGCCGCCCAGGAGCCGCTGGGACGCGAGTCCGGGGGAGGACGGGGCCAGGCGTGAGGCTGGAGGTGGGTGGCAGGGTGCCGAGGGGCAGGTGGCTCGGAAGGAGGGGCTGGTGGGTGCCCCCAGGTCCGGAGGCAGGCGGCTCTGGGCGGGGCATTGGGGTGGCAGTGCCGAGGCCGGCCTGGGCTGAGGGGCCGGGACCGGGGGTGCCGGCCGCAGAGCGGGGCCAGGGCCACGGGGGAGGACGAGGACGCCGAGCCCGCAGGGCCAGGCGGCGGCCAGCCCAGCAGCCCGGGCTGTGAGGAAACCGAGGCCAGAGAGGCCGAGGCTGCAGGCCGCCGGCCGCGCTGCCTGACCGCGCCCTCCCTCCTCAGTGGCACCTCATCCTGGGGGGGGCCGTGTTGCTCACGGCCCTGCGTCCTGCTGCCCCGGGGCCCGCGCCATCTCCGCAGGAGGCCTGAGTGAGGACCGCCCGCCCGCCTCTGCCCTGCACCCGCCCTCCCGCCCGTAGTGACTAGGGGACCGGGCCCTCTCCTCACGCCCCGCCTTCCCCGCCCTGGGGTGCGGCTCGCCCTCACCCCTCCTCCCTCTCTCTCTCCCTCCCCCTCTCCCGCCTGCAGTGGATGTACATCATTCCTGTCGTCCTGTTCCTCATGATGTCGGGAGCGCCGGACGCCGGGGGCCAGGGGGGCGGTGGGGGTGGGGGTGGCGGCGGGGGCAGTGGCCGGTGAGGGCCTTGCTCACCGCTGGCCCCTCCCCACGTGACTCTCCCCGTGGCCCCACTGCAGCCCCAAAGGCTTCCCTCTGACCCGTGTCCTCCCCCCACCAGCACCCTCCCTGGGGTCCGGGGGCGCTCAGCTCCCGCCTTTGCTCGCCCCTGCCCCTGCCTCACGGCCACATCCTGGCCCTGTGCCCCGGCTGCTCCCCCCTTTCTGCCCCGGTGCAGCCCCCCAGCTCCTGTGCTTGAGGCAGGGACGTGGCAGCTCGCACAGAGCAGACGGCCCGGGGGCCTCCCTTCGCGTTACCTGCCCCCAGCTCGTCTGGCTGAAGCCCTGAGAGGACGTGGGAATGCGTGCCACGTGCACGGGGACCGGCTCCCGCGGTTGGACCGTGGGCAGGCGCGGTTGGACCGTGGTCACTGAGTCACTCAGGCCCCGGGGATGGCCTCGGCCGTCACGGCCGCGCACGCCCCTCCGTGCCGGGCAGTTATTAAACGTGCCCAGTGCTCACCGTCTGCGTGGTCTACAGCCACTGAGCTCGCGGCCCGCGGGGGGGTATTCCTGGCAGCTGAGGAGCCTCTCTGAGCAGGTGGGGCGTGGGGCGTGGGCGGAAAGGGGTCCCCATCGCTTTTACCCGTGGCTTTCCTCCTGGAGATGGAGGAGCGCAGGCCAGCGGGGGGCGCTGTTGGTCTCCCCGCCCGGTCCCCGAATCCACAGGACCCAACTCCACACGCGCCTGCACCGGCTTCGCTCCCGGTCCCTGTGCTCCCCCAAAAGGGGCCCCGAGCTCAGCTAACCAGGGACATGCCCCTTGGGCGCCTGCACCCTGAAGGGTCTCTGGTTCGATTCCCAGTCAAGGGCCGAGTGCCTGGGTTGCAGGCTGGATGCTGGCCCTGGGCGGGTGAATGTGGGAGGCGGCTGATCAGTGTGTCTCCTTATTGATGGTTCTCTCCCCCCTCCTGCCTCCATTATCTAAAGTTAGGAAAGCTGTCCGAGGGCGAGGAATCACAAAACCACGGAGCTCCCCGCGGATCCCCAGCCCCTTCCCCTTCCCCAGGCGCCAGCGCGGCCCTCTGAGGCAGAGCGGGCGGCACTGGGCCGTCCGAGCACGCGGCCTTTGCTCAGGGGCGTTACGTTTCAAACCCTCTTGGGCGCCAATGGCGTTGCTGACCCCGATTGCTGCCGCCTTTGGCCTCGCCCTGTGGCCTGACCCCTGACCCCTCTGCCTCCACAGGCGGCCCCGCCCTGCACTGACCGGCGGCCTGAGGCCCGGGTCCCGCCTCTGCATTTCCTCAGGGTCCCACACACCCGGCAGCACTGGGGCTATTTCACCAGTTTTTTATTTGTTTTTATTTTTTAAAATATGTTTTTTATTGAATTTTTACAGAGAGGAAGGGTAGAGGGATAGGGAGTTAGAAACATCGAAGAGAGAGAAACATCGATCAGTTGCCTCCTACACTCCCCCTACCGGGGATGTGCCCCAAACCAAAGCACATGCCCCTGACCGGGATCGAACCCGGGACCTTTCAGTCCACAGACCGACGCTCTATCCACTGAGCCAAACCAGGGCTCACCAGTTTAGTTTTTATTTTTTATTTTTTATTAATATATTTTTTATTGGTTTAAGAGAGGAAGAGAGAGATATCCATGATGAGAGAAAATCATGGATCGGCTGCCTCCTGCACGCCCCCCACTGGGCATCCAGCCTGCACCCCGGGCCTGGGCCCTGACCGGGAATCGAACTAGCAGCCTCCCAGCGGGGGTGAGGCCCGCCGGCGGAGCTGCACTGGCCAGGGTTCGTCGTTCTTCAGCAGCTTGTGACCTGAGATCTTTATTAACCGCCTCGTCCTCTAAGCCGTCCCTCCTCTCAGTGGGCGCCGTTGGGTGGTGTGTTCTGTCCTGTCAGCTGCTCCGGCTCCCGGCTCTGTCCTGCCTAGCCCTCCGCTTCTTGCCTGTCCCTGGGCACCCAGGGACATGGCGTGAACCTCCAGAAGGGTCCCCAGCAGGCTTCTCCTCGCCCGGCCGGCACCGTCCTCCCCCCCCCCCCCCCCGCCCTGTCTGTGCTCTGTCCTGGAGGCATTCTCCACGTGGACAGCCCGTCGTGCATGTCCATAGTTTTGCAAAAGCGTGTTGCCTTTATCCCTCCTCCCCTACTGGACCTGAGTCAGAGGTTTCCATCTCTGATAGACAGTGTGTCCGCAGCCCGGCCCGTGTGGCTCAGTGGTTGGCGTGAACCTGTGAACCCGGAGGTCATGGTTCGAATCCTGGCCAGGGCACCTGCCCGGGGTTCGGGCTTGGTCCCCCGTGGGGGGCGTGCGAGAGGCAGCCGATCCATGATTCTCATCACTTAGGTTTCTCTCTCCCTCTCCCTTCCTCTCTGACCTCAATAAAACTATTAGAGACTCAATAACGTGGGCCTCGCTGTGGGCCGGCTCCCGTGTCTCTCTCCCGTCCGCGGCCTTTGGCTCTGCCGTGGGAATCGCCGGCACCTCGTCGCTTTGCCCCTGGGGTGCGGGTGCAGCCCGCTGCCGGGCGGGGACTTGCTGGGACCGCTGCAGGCTGAGGCTCCACAGCACCTCCTCGCCGACATCCCCAAGCCCGGGCCCTGCTGCTGCCAGGATCGCCTCAGGAGCCGCAGGAGCCGGAGCCGCCATCGCCCTGGCAGAGCTGCCGCGATGTGGTACCACCACCCGCCCAGCCTCGCCCCTCCTCTCTGCCGTCTGCCTCCACCCGCAGCTCCAGGACCGTCTCCAGGACCGCAGCCCTGGGCTCCTCCCCACCTGGCCCGTCAGCCCCGCCTCCGCCCCCTCACCCCACTCCAATGGGCTTTCTGACAGCTGAGCGGACCCCACTCCTGCTCACAGCCACGGCTGCCCAGCGCCCCCAGGACCGAGTCCCCCAGCCCCTCAGCCAGGCCTGGGAGGCCTGGAGTCGCTCGGCGGCCACCGGGCGGGACCTCCGGCCCAGTTCTCACCCCTCCGGCTCCCCGCTGCCCGCCCCTCTTCCTGCTGTGCCCCTTTCTCCACTGAGCTCAGCCCTCGTGTTCCTCCGGACACCCCACCCCAGCCCCCCGACCTCCCAGTGAGTGTCCCCGTTTCCCAATGTCCTCTTCACCCTCGGGGGCCCCTCTTCGCCCTACAGGATGTCACTGCGCTCTGGCATTTGGGGGTCCTTAGCGTGGGGTCTGACAATCTTTAGAGATATCTAAGGCACCCAGCTGGTGAGGCTCAGTGACTGAGCATTGACCTGTGAACCAGGAAGTCATGGTTCGATCCCCATTTAGGGCACATTCCCAGGTTGCAGGTTCAATCCCCTGTATGGGCTGTACAGGAGGCAGCCCATCAATGATTCTTTCTCCTCAATGATGTTTCTCTCTCTCCCTCTCTCTCTCTCTCTCTCTCTCTCTCTCTCTCTCTCTCTCCAAAAGAAATAAAAATTCATTTAAAAATAAATTGACGCTGAAATCACAAAAGTAGAGCACAAGAATATAAAACTGAATCAAGAAAATACTTTTAAAGACAGACTGGTGTATGGCTAATTTTGGTATTTTTAAAAAGCCTCCTTACTACCCAAAATGGTGCTTTGTAGCATGTGGCTTCTGGGAGCGAGTCTACAGGAAGCAGATCTCTCAGAGGGGACTCCGTGGTGAGGACCAGGGTCCAATTGTTGGGGCCCCGTTAGCTGTCCTTCACCTTTGCACCCACTTCCACTCAGTAAGGACTGTCACTGGCGTCACTAAGGACACAAACTCGGTTTGTCCCAATTCCTAGAAACAGGCTCCCAGCAGACTGTGGACACCAGACCCCACCTTCCTTTGTTTCCCCTACGGTCCCATATGCATCTCCATGGCAACACAGGAGCGTCTACCCCAGAATGAAGTCCAGAGGTTTAAGTTGGTACACACACACAAGAAGCTTGCTGAGGATGATGTATGTGTATTGACCAGGAGTAAAAGGATCCTATTTTTACAGAACTTTGGAAAGTCCTCCCTCCTTCCCCACTAGCGCCCCCTCGCCATCCTGCATGGTAGTCACTGTCCACTTCTTGCTGGGACCATCCCCACGTCTAATGCAGCTGGGTTGCAGTCCCACCCTTTGCCACGAGGTGGAGACAGAGGACTTCACGCCGAGACACTTTCTGGCCGACCCAGGCGGTCCCGCTCCACGGAGCGACGTGCCCTGCAGGGGGCGCTGGCGTCCTGCCCTCGGGGAAGGTCGGGTTCCCACGGAGCCTGGGTCCTGGCAGATGCTGGTCCTCCGAACACTGGGCGCCTGTGTTCTCCTCCCTGCGGCTGCGCCGCTCCCCAGGGCCTGAGGAGGAGGAGATGGTGGGGGCTGGGGAGCGGAACGGAGCGGAAGGAGGGGGCGTGGCCCGTGGGTACCAGGAATCTGGGGGCCCCGGCATGGAGGAGCCCATTCCTAGGCCGGTCCAGGCCCCGCCGCTTACTTGCGTGCTGTGTGTCTTCAGGCAGCTGGCTCCCGGTCTCTGAGCCTGCGCTCCCTTCGCTCCCTCCTGGGCCCGGGCCAGGTCTGGCGCCTCCGGGCAGGGTCCAGGGTCCCGGGCAGACAGAGAAGAGAGAAAGGGGGTGTCACAGGGCCCTCCCTCCCCAGGGCTCTGGCCTGGCCGCCCGCCTCCTCCACAGGGGACTGCCCCTCCCGCTCAGACTGGGAACCCCCGGAGCTCAGAACAGGAGAGGGAGGGCAGTGAGCGGGAGCCCTGGGTGCGGGGGTGAGGGGTGAGGGGTGAGGGGGTCAGGGTGGTGGGGCCCTGGGCGGAGGCGGGTGGAGACAGGGAGGGAGGGAGGGAGGCTGCTGGAGGGGAGAGCCCGGGGGGGGGGGCGGAGGGGGCAGATTCGTGGAGGAGAAAAAGGAATGAGATGGAAGGCGGGGGGGGGGGGGGGAGCAAAGAGAGAAACGAGAAGACAGAGAGGGAGAGATAAGAAAAGGAGAGATTCAGAGGCGAGAAATCGGAGAGGAGAGAGAGAGAGATGGGAGAGAGAAGGGCAGGGGGGT